TTAGCACCAGGCTTTGCTAACCAGCTACACCCAACTTCATGGTGGGGGTTCCTGCCCTCTCATGGGCACTGCTGTGATCAACTTTTCTAAGTCACATTTCTATATGCCGCCTCCTCTCAAATTCTGTTTTTAATTTAAAATCAAATTTATTTAGCTCTTTAAAAATCAAACTTTTGCACATAATTTTTATAAAAGACCTGATGCTTCTTAGCCACCATCCTCCCCCATTTCACAGTCCCCACAAGCACCTGCTTTAAGCTTTTAAACTGATTCTTATGGTTGTTGCCTTGATATCTCTGAACAACCTGTCTATTGCCACTTGTTGATTTTTCCATTGTAGGTGTTACTTATCAATTTCTCCCTGTGGAAGATGACAATTAGCTTTCTTTGATTCTTCCACCCCCACAAAACACACACACATTCTCCAGCACAGACATATAATCTTTTTGGTTCAATCCCTGGTCCGTGATTACAGTATTATGATTCTGAAAATGCTATCCAGCTGAGCTGTGAGGTACATAATCATTATTTTTGCACAACTTTTCATTTCTTTTCAGTTAATACTTATCTTTTTATTTTAACTTGGTTGATGTTCTGTGTACTGTATACTAATTCATCTCCAAATGCTCTCTCAGTTATGTAAATTTCCTCAAAACGTGTTCAAAGCGAAGCACCTGTCAGGTTCTTCCTGAGGCAGTCCCTCCTGGAGTCCTCTGGCCTCCTGTATCTGGAAGCCTGACTGCTCTGTGGCCCTGTTCCCTCCAGTTCACTACTGCTGTTGCCACAGGTGCTGCTGCTGCTCCTCTCCCTCCTTATTGAAGTGCAATTTGTGTACCATACAATTCAGTGGGTTTTGGTACATTCACAAGGCTGTGTTACCATCACCACTCTCTATAATGTCAAAACATTTTATCACCCTCAAAAGAAACCCTATATACTCATTAGCAATCACTCCCCATCCCTTCTTCCTCCCAGTCCCTGGAAAGCAACACTTGCTCTGGACATTTCTTATAAATGGAATTACGAAATACGAGGCCTTTTGTATTTGGCGTCTCTGACTTAGCATGATGCTTTCAAGGCTCATCTGTGTTGTGGCATGTATTAGTACTGCATTCTTTTCCATGACCAAATACTCCACTGTATGGATAGACCGCATTTCCTCTTTCCTTGTTGTCTGTGATGGCCCTACGTGCTGTTTTCGCTTTTTGGTGGTTATGAATGATTTTCTCACTCATGTGAGTGTTGGATCCCCCATTTCTTAGAATCTCTGTTTCCTCTAACTAGATTTCTTTTCTTTTTTTGGTGGGAGGTCAAATTTTGAGAGGTTATACGTTTGCAAATGTCCTTACTTACTCTCACATGGTTTGGCCTTGGCGTATCATTCTAGCTTAGAAAGAACTCGCTGGAGGATGTTGACAATGTCAGTTGCTGTTTTTTAGCCTACAGCACTGGTGTTTCCAAACCCTGTGCCATTTCTAGTTTTCCCTCCTCTGTAGAATTAATTCTGCTTCCTCTCTGGAGGTTTGCCCTCTCCTTTGTCCCCTTCACCCTGAGGCCTGAGAGCAGGGCTTGGCCTCCTGCTGTCTTAAGTGCTCGCCTCTTGGGCCTGGAATTATATCTTTGTTTCTGTCCTCTCTGTGTTACTTCCCCACCCCCTTTTGAACTCTTTTCATGTGGTAACTCTTCATTTCGTTTCTTGTTTTCCGTTTGGCTCTATTTTCTGGACATCTTCTTACCTCCTGGTCTTTGTATCTAGTGTTCCATTTTGGCCACCTCAGTTTTCCTCTCCAAAGGAGCTTTCTTGCTCTCTCTGTGTTATTTTTTTCTCCTTTTAAAATATCTCCCTATTATTGTTTCTCAGCTACAGCATCTCCATTCTCTTTGGGAATATTACTGATAGCTTGTTCGTGGAGTGTACTTCTCCCTAGATTGGGTCTCTTCCTACAAGTTATTTTTCTCTGCCTGTTTATTCTGGTCCCTGTCTTTCCATCTTAAGTGCTTGTCTCAGATGGGAGGTGATTTCTGGCTGTCTACTCGGAGTCAGGAGTGGGGGACTAAAGAGCTGATTTAGAACTCTGTGGCCATTTCTTGGTGGGATGACCTGGCTCTGCTGTTTCACCGGAGGGACCACCCCCCCCCCCCC